ATTAGCCCCATTTGACAATGAGGGACACAGAAGGATTAAATAACTTGCTTAAGGTCATTCAGCTGTTAATTATAGGAGCTGAAATTTAGACCTTAGCAGTGTGGGTCCACAACCTACACTTTTAATCACACTGCCATGGATGCACCATGACTTCTATAAAATCCAAGATTCCACCAGCCAGATCAACTTCTCAGTTATTCACTCATCTTCAGTGTTATGCTTGTCACCCTGTCCAGCACTTTCTGGGATGCTCAGCTCAAAACCCAAGGCCTTGCTACCAGCTGCCAGATCTCCCTTGTGTCCCCCAGATATGAGTCTGCTCTCTCCTCTCTGTCTCCTGCACACTGGGCTCTATTTCCAAAGGGACCCCACTTCTGACCTTCAGTGAGTCATCCCTGAATCAGGCCACCATGTCACTGCCTGTTGTCACCATTCTCCTGGATACTATGTCTACATGCCAAGACAAGACTTGCACTGGCCATGTACTGCTGGATTTTGCACAGCAAGGGATGTCCCAAGACTCTGTCACTTCAGTGGACATCTGATTGCCTCTGCATGCTCCTGCTGGACTGGTTAGATCTACTTCCTACCTGGCTTTGGAATCCACTCTGACTTCATTCATTCATTCATTGATATTTTTATTGTGTGTCTTCCAAGTGCCAGGCAATGTGATAGGCATGGAGGATACCAGGGTGAACAAGGAAAGGATGCATAATCCTAGCCCTCTGGACCACTGGGCCCAGAGTACTGACCCCTGCCAATCCTATACCTCCTTGATATCCACATATCATCTCCTGCCACAAATCAAAATATCTGAAAACAGAATATTTTGATTCTGGAATCACCACCTTTCTGTCTCTAGGATTCTCTGAGATTTCTTTAATTCTAGATTTGACTCCCCATCTCTCAGTGGTCATGTTGTTGTTGTTGTTGTTATGTGCCGTCAAGTCGGCCCCGACTCATAGTGACCCCTCCTTAGGTTTCTGAGGCAGTATCACTACAAAAGTAGGATTGCCCAACCTTCCTTCTGAGGAGTGGCTGGTGTCATAGATACTCAGAAAAAAACATAATGCTACCAAAGAATCTGCCCATGTCAAAGCTGGCTTAAAGGCAATCCCATAAGTAACAAGACAGTGATCCATTCAAGGCAAAGGGTGTCTGTCTTTAAGCACTATCTTAAGAAGGAGAAGGAAAAATTGCCCTTGGTGCTCAGTGTAAGAATGTTTGTTTTCTCTCTCTAAATGTGTAACAGGAAATTAGGCAGTTCACCTTTGTCATCGTTTGCATGCCACTTATGCATGAGCCAGATGGTACCTCTTTGTTTTAAGAAATTAAAAATGAAAAAGAAAGTATATAAGGAGGAGTTTATCTCTATCACTCCCTCCTGCCCTCATCTGCACACTCTGAAATACACACTCTGCAAGTAGATACACACACATACACACACAAATGCATGCTTGAATTATCAGCATTTAGCTGTATTAAGCATGAGAGCCAGCAAATTCGTAGGCCCAACAGCTTTTAGTAACAGACGGGAGCAGAGATGTACAAACCTGTCGCCGGGTGTTAGTGTACAGAAAAGAATCCTTCACATTGTTCTTGCTGTCTGATAAATCACTGCATTCCCCCAGGGTCTCAGCCAGTATATACTGAACAAAAAAATCTTATCTAAATCATCCTAGCCTGGACTTAGCTCTAAGATTCATGATCAAGACCATATAAACACTGACCAGAGAAGGAGGAAAGTACTGATGACCCAGTATTTCCATCCAAAGTGAAACTTTGAGAAGGAAATTTTCCTGGAGTAGTAAGAAATAAAATCAAAATGAAGCTAGGATGATGAAATGCTGTCTTGCCAACTTTAGACTGTTCATCAGGAAACACCAGTCTCTACAAAAGGACACAACGTTTGGTAAAGCAGTTGATCAGTGAAAATGAGGGAAATCCTCCATGAGATGGATTGACACAACAGCCACAAAAATGGGCTCAAACATATCACAGATCCTAGAGATGGTGCAGGTGCTCTGGTAGCGTAGTGCCTAAGACATTTGACTGCTAACCAGGAGGCTGGTGGTTCAAAGCCACCTGCCACTCCTCGGAAGGAAGGTTGGGTAATCTATTTCTGTAGTGATATCACCTTGGAAACCCAAGGAGGGGTTGCTATGAGTCGGGTCCTACTCAACCACACATAACAATAACAACAACCGAGATGGTGCAGGATGGGCAATGCTTTGTTCTGTTATATAGAAAGTTGTCAAGAATTGGAGCTGACTCCAGGGCAATTAACAACAAGAGCCAATTTACCTACTCTTTTGGAGACAGCTGCATGATCCCAGTTTCTCCTCCCACAGTGGTCAAGAGCTTCCCCTATCTGATCCAGAAATTGCATCTGGAAATAAGGTAATCACTGGGGTTTTCTTGCCTTGGATGTGAAAGGGACTAAATAAAATATTATAGATAATACTTTATTGAGTAACTATTGTATTCCAGGCTCTTTACACAAATTAACTTGTTTAACATTAAAATAACTCTGTTGAATAAATATTTTTGTCCTTATTTTAAAAATGAGAAAATTGGACAGAGGTCAGGGAAAGTGCACTGAGGTCACATGGCCATTAACTTGTGGTGTTAGGACGTTACACAGGTAAGACTAGGTCCAAAGCCCAAGAATTCCCTTGTCATCAGTCAATGCAGATGTGATCTCAAGCAAATCTACTTCTTCTGCCTTTTGTTTTATAGAAGAGTGGGTGGGACTGTAGGGGAGGCTGTGTATACACTAGGAACTCGTTGAATATGGAGAGTACAGCACCTAGCCACTATCAGTGGAATAGACAAATTTTCCAATGGTGTGTTAAGGTTTTACTACAACTATCCCTTCTTGTTTCATATCTCCTTTGAAATAAAAGCACATATTTTCATAAGCAAGTTGGCCTCAGCTAATACCTGGCTTAGAACTCATAAAAAAGAATTGAAGATATCTGTAGTGTAGACATTTTCCTGAACCATTCTACCTTCCTTAAAATCCAGTCTTCCCTGTAATCCACAGAAAGCTGATGGACTGTGGTGTGGCAATCATTACCCATTGCCGCTGTCCCAAGAATAAAGAGCAACAGTTGATCAGTGTTAAAGCAAAGGCAAAGGAGGATCATTTGGAGAAGTGATTGTGGTCCCCTTTCCCTTTTGTAAATCCAGAATCAAGAAATACTAAGTGCAGTCTTTGAATCAAGTTTGAAGGCTCATTTTGCACACATTCTGGTCAGAAATAGTTTCCCAAGACCTGGGGAAATCCAGTGGCGATCAGCTTGACATGATCAAAACATTTGCCTTGTACAGAAAAAAAGAAGAGCCACTCATGGCTTTTATCAACACCAACATAAATCTGAGCTCAGCCCGACAAACCTGCAAACCCCATTACACAGAATACACAGGCAATTAAATGGTGCCAGCACCAGCCAGACTCAAGAAATCTATGACCCATGGGCCCTTAATAACCTCACCAATGCCTCTCCTGGAAATGATTGAAAATATTGGTCTAGATGCTAAAGAAAGATTCTATTTTGATATTTCCTGGCAGGTCTGTCCTGGCCATCAATCAGTGGCTACTGTTGCTTCTTGATCTCTTTTCCATATCCAGGAATGTTAGACATGGCAAGTCACTAGAGGAGCTGCCCAATCCCCTGTGGAAACTAAGTTTTCCCTGCTGTTAGGTTCACTTTGCCTGAAGGTCTCTAATGATGGGATATGGCCTGCCATCCTCTGGTTGGGGTACTTTTTGGCCACAAAGGACATTATCCAAGTATCCAAGTATTCCACTTTTCCCTTGGCTGTTGTTAAAATGAAGTCCCTTGATTGATTACTTTTAATGCCTGGCAATCTCATTTAAACAAGCTATCAAGAGCATCCAGACAAAACAGGTCTATAGTCTCCAACCCCAAACTCCCAGCCTTCTGGTCTACCATGTTCAGGTCAACTGAGAGTTGATAATCATATTGGGGCTCTTTGACTCACATATGATCACTCATTGCCTACAAAGAAGATGAGACAAATGGCTGCCATGCTTCTCAACCACCAAAGTATTGCCCCACATTCTCCTTACACATCTAATTCAAATTCTTTCTCCACTCAATGTTCTCAAAGTAAATCTTCCGTATTTTGAGACACCTCAAAACAGTTTTCAGAAGTTATCCAACTCTTGCGTCTCAGTTTGTAACACATTTTTCCCTTCTGAGATGGGTGACATTATTGGTCTTTTCCTGGGCAAGAATCACTCAAATGATGTATGAGAAGGAGATTCCTAAATTTATGAGATTAAAAAAAAATCATGGAAGCAAAATAAGACTCCTATTAATGTAAAGTAGATGTAGTATGGCATAAATCACAATCTGAGAGCTTTTTCTAAGGTTTAACTGGCACCCTTGCTATCTGATAACAGGTAACAAGCTTTCTTTCCTAATCATTCCTAACCCATTTGATAACTCTGCTCAGCAATACATCAGTCATTGTTGCTGTTTTATTTTGGGTTCTAGTTTATGATTAAGATTTACTTTGGGAGACAAAATAGGCCTTATGTGGTCAGCAGATAATTTCAGAGAATAAAATCTACAGTGGGTGAGGCTGAATTAGGGACTGGGTTGGTAGATGTTAAAAGGTAGCACCAAATTGGGCTTGTCTCTATATGTGTTTGGGTGCACACACACACACGTATGTGTGTATGTGTGAGAAGGATGGATACTGATGCAAGTAAAACACAATGCACATGTCATTGCAAACTAAGGATACATTACAGCTAAATGTCCAAGAGGAAAGAGGGCTATGGTGAGGATAATAAACAGGCATGCCATGATGCAAGAGTGACCAAAAGAAGGCTGCTGAGTGAATGTCTGGGCACAGGTGTGTATGTGTGTGTGCCAGAGTGACAGGGTTAATGGACAATGACAAAGACACGTGAGCAAGGTACTAGTTCTGCTGCGGAGCCCTGCAGCTGGGAAAGGCCACCTTACCCTGTAGTAATCAGTGCTGTAGACATCTCTCGACATGCCAAAGTCTCCAATCTTCACCAGCAGGTTGGCTCCAACCAGGCAGTTCCTGGTGGCCAGGTCCCGGTGCACAAAGTGCTGCGAGGCCAGGTACACCATGCCCGAGGCAATCTGGCTGGCAATGTGTAGCATTTGGGAGAGTCCCAGCTCACCCTTGGCCTGGCGTGGCTGTCCATCCACGAGGATCATCGCATCTGGCCCGTGGGCCCTGCATGGGGGTTGGAGAAGGAGGGAGCAGAGAGAATTCAGCAGATAAAGGGGAAAGGCCTTCTTGGCTCCCTGTACACTAGAATCCCCCATAGACATGAATAAAATCTCACTTTTCAGCCTGTCTGTGGCCTATTTCTGCCTACCTAAAATTATATGATGAGAGGATGAGTATAGGTGAAACACTACAACCATAGTTCCAATAAGATACCCACAGACATGCTCCAATGGGTCAGGGGATAGACTCCTCTTTTTAGCATTTTACTCTTGTCTAGGGGTTTCCTAAGTTCTAGACATATATTATAGAATAATTAATAAAACAATATCAAAAACAAACTCTTACAGGGCCCTTATTATGAACCAAGCATTGCTCTGACTGTTTTAAACATATTCACCCATTTGATCCTCCTGTCCCAATTTTGAGATAAGGAAACTGAAGCATAAAGACAGAGGTCACAGAGTGGCTACATGGGGGTCAAGAGGAAGAATGTGAAAGCAATTATTTGGCTCTAGAGGAGAGCTTCTTAAGCTTTCATGAGCACCTAGGGGCTTGTTAAAACTGATTCCAGGGCCTCACTCCTGAGATGCTGATTGAGTAAAAAAAGCAGTTTCCTTTTAGGTCAACTCCAAATCATGGAGGGTATGGGAGTCAGAGTAGAACTATGCTCCATTATATATTCAGTGGCTGATTTTTTGGGAATTAGATCACCAGCTCTTTGTACTGAGGTACCTTTGGGTGGACTCGAACCTCCAACCTTTCCGTTAGCAGCTGAGCACATTAATTATATCACCCAAGGACTCTGCTGATTCAGCTGGGGCCCATGCATTTGCATTTCTGACAAGCACTGCTGGTCTCCAGGCCAGATTCTGAGTAGCAAGACTCTTGAGTCCACATTTGTGAACACTCCAAACACTGTCTAGGCCTGGGGTGGAGAAATGCTCTGATCTGAAGCAGAGGTCTAGAAGTCCCAGCACGCCTCCATCCCAAATCAAGTCCCAGGTCTGTTTCTCAAAACCTTCCTCTGTCATATCAGTCACTTTTACTGTTCACTCTTTTCTCCAGTAAGCCCAACAAGCTGTGACCACACCCGGGGCCCTTATTTATGTAGTTGTGGGTGAGGAGCTCTCATGGACAGTGCAGCCTCGGCCTGTTTTACTGCTTCTCCAATTTCCACTGAAAGGCGCCGTTAAATATGAACATGCTCGTTTTATTATCTCCTGTGGGTGCTAACCTCCTCACTCTTCAGGAGGGGAGCTCCTGCATCAGCTCACAAGGAAGGATTCAGCAGACAAGACCTGTCTCTTGTCTACTGGGGGAGGGCCCTCCAGCCAGCCCCTAAAACTCACCCACATGGAGTCATGAGAGCTGGCAGAGCCAGAGAGGGATCATAGAGGTTACAGTGTGAAAGCAGCCTGCTAGCCACCTCCCAGGAAGGCTTGGGGTGGCCCAATGCTGGGAACTGAAGCCACTAGCAGCTTCTGGAGAAACCCATCCTTGACAGACACAGCCCAAGGAGACAGATTAATGGCATTTACCAGGAATCTGGTCATTTGTGAAGGCCAAAGCCTAGATTGTGTTCCAAAAAAAAAAAAAAAAATGTCCCAGGGAAGACGGTTGAGCCTTGACTTGGATAGACCCCCCCATGATGTCTTTAGGAAGGGAGCCCATGGAAAAACACAGAGGCTGTAGGAACCATGAGCAAGCCCTGGCAGAATGGTGCCCTTTCTTACTCTCTCATGCCTTCTCCACTGTGAAGAAAGAGGAGGTGCAGGGATCATTTTGGGGCAGGCTGTCCAGCACAGACATTGTCCTTCACCCAATGGGTTCCTTTCTTTTTCCTTTTTCTCTGCTTTTCCTTTTCCTCTTATTTTAAGCTTCTCCCACTCCTTGCATCTACTCTTGCCTCCCACCCTTTATTTCCCCTCTAAGTTTTCTTCCTTTTCCCTTATATGGGGTATGACAATGGGACAAAGAGGTCCCCAAGAGCCCTATTTAGCCCTACTGGTGGCACTTGGGGCTGAAGTCACTGCTGAACCAATGGAGAGGATAGGGGACAATGAGGCATGTCCCTCTGACCCCAGGGAAGGGAAGCACAGGGAAAGACAGATCCTAAGTATTGAGGAAAAGAGTCACCTGGATTAGAAGCTATCTTGGTTTGTAGCCCTGATAACATAATAATATCAATGATTTTAATAGCACCTATCTTACATGTAAGAAGCTCTGGTGGTGTAGTGCCTAAGGCATTTGACTGCTAACCAGAAGGTTGGTGGTTCAAACCCGTGAGTCACTCAGTGGAAGGAAGACTGGGCAATCTACTTTCATGAAGATTTACTGCCTCAGAAACCCAAAGGGGGTCGCTATGAGTCAGAATCGACTCGATGGCAGTGAGTTTGGTTTTTGGTTTACTCTTACACCTAGTTACATGTAAAACTCATCTGCAAAATCTGGAAGCTGTGTAAGAAACCTGTCAGAGAACGAAAACTCAAACTCACTGAAACAAGCAATAGAAAAGTGGTAAAACTGTACCCATCAAAGGTGGAAAACTAGTGAGACCCAAAAAAACAAGGCAGTCCCGTCAAGTCCCGGTGCCATAGAGCTGATTCCGACTCATAGCAACCCCATAGGACAGAGTAGAACTGCCCCATAGGTTTTCCAAGGCTGTAAATCTTTATGGAAGCAGACCACCTCATCTACTTCCCACAGAGCAGCTAGTGGTTTCAAACCACTGACCTTTTTAATCAGCAGCTCAATGCTTTAACCACAGTGCCACCAGAGCTCCTTTTTACATTGTATAAATATAGTTATTTAATACTCATAAAACAACATTGTGAAGCAGTTAATAAAGCTCTTGTACTCTAGGAGAGAAATTGAAGGTTTAACAGCTTCTTCCAGACTCTATCACTCAAACCAAAAAAATGAAACTCACTGCCATCTAGTCAACACTGACTCATAGTCACCCCTCCTTGGGCTTCTGAGGTGGGATCTCTATGGAAGTAGATTGCCCAATTTTCCTTTCGAGGAGTGGCTGGTGGGTTTGAACCATCAGCTTTCTGGTTAGCAGTCAAATGCCTTAGGCACTATGCCACCAGAGCTCCCAACTAAGAAGTGAAAAATTCAGGATTTGAACCCAAGTCTGTCTTATGGTAAGAACTGAGTAGTCAATGAAAGAAATGCCTTTCATTGTAAAGCCAGGATCAGAAGGTTTAGATCATCTTAAAGGCACTTTAAATTCCTCCAGGGCCTCTTTTGGTCAACCCAGCTCATAAGCAGAGTTCCACAGACTTATCCAGCCTATTATTCCTCCAGCCCATTCTTATTCCCTGCTCAAAACCACCCACTCTATTAAATATCCCTCTTCAACAGGAAGATCCTGTTTTTGGTGAGTGGGTCAGAGCCTTTTGTAACCTAGCATTTCTGAGAATCTCTAAGCCATAGAATTCCAGAGGACTTAAATGGTGACTAGGGTAGAGACTGCATCTTAACAGACCAGAACCTGAGTGTTTGACCTTCTTTTTTGGGACCTTGGAGTCCAAAGATCCCTTATACCTGGCTGTGGGCTGCCCCTCCACATAGGGGCAATAGTTGGAAGTGAAAGACATTGATGGCAAACATGTTATCACTCTGCTCTACTGGTGAGATGCTATGTCTTCCATATGAAAGGTAGATCCACCTGTGAAATGCCAATCAGATCTTCTGGCTGGGAGCCAGAAGTTAGCAGTCTCTTACCAGTTCTGCAAGAACTAGTAAAACATTCTTCCTCTGAACTTGAAGAAACCTTTCTTACAAAACACCCACACTTTATGGAAGAGTCTGAGCTGGAAATGTTCTTTGTTGGAACTTCTGGACAGGGTAGCCACTAGCCACATGTGGCTACTGGGTACTTGAAATGTGGCTAGGGTAACTAGAAAACTGAATTTTTAATTTTAAAAATTGTAATTAATTTAAATTCAGATAGCCACACATGACTGACTACCTTACTGGACAGTAGTTTAGAATTTAACCAAGGAAATTCTTTTATTTTTTAACTATGTCCATATCCTAATGAGTTTGTAACCTTGTGCCTTCTTATTCATCACCAAGGAATCCCTAGCAAGAAAGTTTCCAGGAGGAGTTCAAGTGGGGAACCTAAGAGACAAAGAGCTATTTGCGAGATCAGGGAAGAGATGCTTTTGGAATCTCTGGGTTATAAATTATAGTCCAGTTGATCTTAGTTCCCTCCTTGGCCCCATTCCAGACCATGCTCTTCTTATCCATGTTGGAATCAGGAAAGAGAGGACAAGTTACTTGTCATATCATCCTTAACCTCTCCTGCTATCTCCGTAGGAAGTCAGGGATAAAGGCCTGAATCTCTCTGTTTAGGAGAGGATGGATAAGATGAAAGGTTTTCCTGTTGCCATTGAATCCATTCCAACTCATAGCAATCTTATAGTACAAGGGGTAGAACTACCCCACAGGGTTTCCAAGGATGTAATCTCTATGTCATCTCCAGTAGAGCAGCTGATGAGTTTGAACGGACGACTTTTCAGTTAACACCCGAGTGCTTAAACACTGAGCCACCAGGGCTCCTCAAGAAGAAATGTAGCTTCTCATTTCTCTTTCTCAGAGGGGGGAGCATGACTCTTGATACCACAGAGAGCAATTCTACTTACCTGAGGAACTTGTTCAGGTCTCCATGCTTCATATACTCAAAGACCATGATGAGGGGATCTCCGTCACCACACACCCCATAGAACTTGACAATGTGCTCATGCTGCAGGTTGGTGAGCAGTTCAGCCTCCCTCTGGAAATCCTTCCGGGCAGCCAGGGTGGGATCCTTCAGAGCCTGGAAATGCAGGACACTGGCTTTTAGCAACTAGAATGCAGTAGTCACTCCGTTCTCCTCCTGGGAATAAAGCTGACACCACATACATTAAAACCAAAAACCAAACTCACTGCCATCAAATCCATTTTGACTCATAGCAACCCTCATAGGGTTTCCAAGGCTGTAAATCTTTACTGAAGTAGACTGCCCTAGCTTCCTCCCATGGAGCAGCTGATGGGTTTGAACCACTGACCTTTTTTGCTTTCTGGTTAGCGGTCAAATGCCTTACTCACTGTACCACCAGATCTCCTTCAACACACACTGCATTCCCAAACAATAAGATATTAATTCAGGGTGTAAAGAGCCCTGATACCCCAATGTTTAAATGGTAGGCTGCTAACCAAAATGTCAGTGGTTCAAAACCACTAAGGCTCTGCAGAAGAAAAAATCTGGCAATCTGCTCTCATAAGAATTACTGCCTTGGGAACCCTATGGGGCAATTCTACTGTGTCCTATAGGGTCACATAAGTCAGAATCAACTCAACAGCACACAATGACAGCAACAATGACAAAAAGGGTAAATTACAACAGCATGCCCAACTCCTCTTCTTTCAGCATTTGGATCCTTGTAGAAAGAGAAAATAACATTTCTGATCCCTGTGCCCCACCTATCAGGCCACTGATTTCAAAGTACAGGTGGTCCTCAGATTACAAATGAGATCAGTTCTTAAGTGTGCCTTTAAGTCTTTAAGTGGAATTTGTAGGTGAGTTGAAACAAGTGCATATGGTTCTTACTTAGCCTTACTTTAGTACAAGAAAAGGCTCTAAGCCTTTAAAATGATTTAAAAGCTGCACATGCAGCAAGTGAAGGTGATTGTGATGAAGAAGTTGTTGCCAGTAGGGATTGGTTCAATTGTTTCAAAATGAGGGCAAATTTACATAACATTAAAGGGCAAGTAGGAGTTGTCTGTACTTAGGAAGTTCATAACCAGTGGTCTGCCAATATTTTCATCTCAAAAAGCTAGGCTTTCTCAGACTGCCAGTCGTTTCCGACTCATAGAGACCTCTCCTTGGGTTTCCAAGGCAGTATCTCTGAGGAAGTAGATTGCCCAACTTTCCTTCTGAGGAGTGGTTGGTGGGTTTGAACCACCAGCCTTCTGGTTAGCAGCCAAATGCCTTAGGCACTATGCCACCAGAGCTCCCAAGGGGCAGGAGGAAGGAACAATGAGACAGAAGGCCTGACTATGCCCCCTTCTCCTAAAGATGCCTTTGAAGAAATAATTTCATTTCTAAAACAAACCACTTGAAAACCACTTCCCCAATTGGCTTAACTTTATAAATTAGCGTACCCTCATTGGAAAAAAAAAAAAAAAATGTTACCTTCAAGTAAATTCCAACTCTTGGTGACCTCATATGTGTCAGAGTAAAGCTGTGCTCTACAGATGTTTCAATGGCTGATTTTTTGGAAGGGGATCACTAAGCTTTTCTTCCGAGGTGCATCTGATGGATGCAAACCTCCAAACCTCTTTTGAGCAGCTGAGTGTTAACCATTTGCACCACCCACAGACTCTGAGGCCTTTTAAGCCCACTTGAAGGATTCTGGAGACAGCAGTCTTGTGTAAATGCAGCAGTGCTGACCTCAACTGACAATAAGCTGTGGAAAGAACAGTCTCCTTCCTGTTGGAGGAGCAGCCTGTACAGGTGTGTCTGCACCTTTCCCCATAAGGTGCAAAGATAGATGGAACCAAACACCCATTCATTTCACCTGACACAGTTTAGTGCCCTCAAGAGATACAACATGAGGAAATGAGAAAGTAGGTGTGAAGTTTGTTTGCCATTTGCAGGTTAGTGAAATTCTAGACAGACTGGAGACTGTTTTGTCTTCTCTCTGTCAGGCATCTGGCTTTTTCTGGTTATTCAGGCAGTCTGGCCTCCCCTGTAGCTGACGAAAGCCTCCTTAACCAAAGATCTTTCTTCTTTCCCCTGCAGCCCCAATTACCTGACATGTACAGGGCTGCTTGGGCTTGGAGTCCCTGAATGGTGCAAACAGGTTAATGTGTGTGGCTGCTAATCAAAAGTTTGGAGATTCGAGTGCACCCAGAGGCACACTGGAAGAAAGGCTTGGTGATCTACTTCCAAAAAATCAGCCACTGAAACACCCGTGCAGCACACTTCTACTCTGACACATGTGGGGTCACCGTGAGTCAGAATCAGCTTGATGGCAACTGGTTTTCTGGCTTGGGTTTTCAGCATATTGAGAGTTATTGTTGTGTGCTGTTGAGTTGGTTCTGACTCATATTGACCCTATATAACAGAGTAGAAACTGCTCCATACGGTTTCCTCCACTGTGATCTTATGGGAGTAGATCACTAGGTCTTTCCTCCCACAGAACTGCTGGGTGTGTCAGTGTAGAACTGCGCTCCATGGGATATTTTATGGTTGTATCCATTCAGAAGTAGATCACCAGGACTTTCTTCTGAGGTGGACTTTAACCTCCAGTCTTTTGGTTAGCAACCATGTATTTGCACCACCCAGGACCTCCCTGCTTTGGCAAGCTACCTAATAATAAAGGAATAGGCTGTAGTGTTCACATATAACCATAACAAAGACATTTGTGAAGCCTTCTTGCTGTGAATAGAAAAAAGTCAGAGTTCTGGTGAGAGAGAGCTCTCCCAGCAACCCAGCTCCCAGACACAGCTCTGAGCTACATGGGCTAGGGTGTGGTTATAGGATCACTGCCAGTGATTTATTTATTTTCATGAAAAAAAAAAAAAAAGAACCCAGCATGGGTGGGATGGGAGAATATAAAGATTTATGTGACCGCTGGATTTATGAGAGGGAAGAGTAGATCAAATTTGGGGCCAGCCAAATGGCCTCGCTCCATCTCTTTAAATCATTCTCTTGCACAGTCTGGATACTAGTGGCAGCCATTGGATACTTCCATTCTCAGCCCTTGAGCGGTGCCAGCCAGCATCCCCCAGGTTGGCTTCCTGTACTGGGAGCAGGTATGAGGCCCTGATGTAGGCAATGGAACACAAAACAGCTGCTCTCTCTTTGAGTTTTCCCACACCCTTTCTCTGGACCCTACAATCAATCCTCTCTCTGCCTTCAAAATGGGTCTTTCAGCTTCTGGGCCATACCTGGAGTTGTTATGTAACTGGCAAAGAGTAGGGTCAGCAACTGGGGTTCAGAGTTGCAAGTGACCCCATTCACCAGGGACATGATGCAATTGGGACAGACATGATAGGAAGAGAATAATGAGAGGAAAACTGGGCCAAAGACTCTCTCTTACTTAGGCCACATCCAACACCTACTTTGTAAATTGAAATTTACAAAGAAATTGCGAAATAGATCACAAGTTAGTGCCACAAGACAGAACCACATCTCTAGAAAATGTATCTGCACAAGGCCTGGGCCCACAGGGAGATGAGCCTTGCCAAAGTGCCTGTGAAGGCAGGAAGCTCCTGGGTAGACACTTTGAGTAATTATTATACACCAAAGAGGACAGCTGGAGCTTAGTTTGCCCTCCTCATCTTCCTCCTTTGCCATCAAAGTTTGGAGTCATTTCCATGTCTGGTCTTCCCTTCTATGTTTGTTGGATCTCATGTCCACGCCTCACATTGATGGAAGGGTTTCACCCAGGCTGTTTAGCTAGATGGGAGGAAAACAGTGGAGATAGAAAGAGCCTCCAAACTTCTCTACAGCTTCCACCTCCTTCAAAGTCACTTAACATTGTCATCTTCAACACTGTCCAGCCTAGTGACTCTGCTGCCCTCCATTTTTCTTTTCTTTTGTTGGTGGGAGATATTGCAAAGAATTGGTCAATTTTAGATTTCTTTAATATACTGAAAGACATGTTACTATTTGTGCAGGCATGCATATACACCTAACTGCTAAAACTTAGGAAGAAATTCTCTCTCCCCCTCCCTCCTTCTCTCTCTCTCACACACACACATCCATCAACTATTTTTAGCTATGAAAATCACCTTTCTTGTAGTCCCTCAAAATCCACTGCCCCTTCCTCTTGTTGAGATTCCCAAGCAACTTCATCAGGGAGGCAGAGGGATAGTTTTTGCATCCATGACATGTGTGCTTCTCCTTTATATCTCTTCCCTGGTTTTAAACTGGCCATTGGCTTCCCATTGTTTTTAGAATAAAACCCACACTCTTTAACATAATCATGGGCCCTAAATATCTCATCTTAGTCTCTCCTCTCTCTCTCTCTCTCTCTTCTCCTCCCACACACATCTCTTCCCCCTCATTCACTGCATTTCACTCTCATTTGTCTTTTCGTCCCTCCAAGCTTTTCCCTGCCCCAGAATTTTTTTTTTTTTTTTAATTTTATTTTATTTAGATTTGGGTGAAGATTTACAGAGCAAATTCACTCTCGATACAGCAGTTCACATATACTTTGTCTCATGTCATTGACCACAGTTTACCACAATGCAACAGCTCCCCTCCAATTTCCTCCCCAAGGTACCACTTCCCAGTGTCCATCCCTCCATACTCTCCTGCCCCCTAAGCTGTCTTCCTGTGCATAAGGTTCCCTTCCTTCTCCCATGATTGTTCTCTCAAGGGCATGTGTCCACTTGAGGTGAATGTTCAACTCACATACCTGTACTTTGCTTGGCTGGAAACCACAGGTGTGGTCTCAATTCCAGACTTGAAGGGTAGCTAGGGGCCATAGTCTCAGTGGTTCCACCAGGCTCTATTGGACCAGCAAACCTGGTCCCAACCATCCCCCCCCTTTTTTTTTCCCCTCCAAATGATTTTGAGTTTTGTTCCACATTGTTCTCCCTCTCTATCCAGGATCTCCTACATCCCTTCCAAGTGGATGACATTGGTAGCCGGGCACCATCTAGTTCTTCTGGTCTCATACTTGTATAGGTTGCAGATCAGATGGTGTACCAGTCATTGCCCCAGAACTTTTGTATTTGCCTTTACCTTGGCCAGAAACACTCCCATGCTATATCTACATGCCTGAACAGATTAGCTGACAATTCCCATTATCTCTGTAAGAT